TTACGTCAATTCCATGAGCAACAAAAATCTAGATATAGCTGCTATATTCAGAAAACACGAAAAGGAAAAAAAAAGAGAGTATGGCGAACGAGTTCGTGAAGTCGAAAATGTCAGTTTGACACCACTAGTGTTTGGTACAAATGGAAAGAATGTCATCGGTTTGTTAGAAGGCTAGCGAAGAAACTAGCGGAAAAACAAAATGAAAAATATTCAATTGTTATGACGTGGTTAAGAACGAAGTTATCTTTTGAGATATCTTTGACTAAAAAAAAAAGATTTTGAAATTGGTGTTGATTTTAAGATGGATGCTCTAGAAGCAAGAATCTGAGTTCTTATAAATTTATATTATAGCATTTTGTTTTACTTGTATATTCATATTCTATTGATTTTAATCAATAAAATGAACATTAGTTTAAATGGCGATTTCTGAGCTATAAAACTTGGATACTTTAGACGAAAATCTCTTAGATGAAATATTTGAAGAGTATATCAGTAAAACATTTGAGAAGGTGTGCGATTTTATTTTCTTATATAAGTTTAAATACAAGGTTTTTCAAATATCCAACATTATGTGTGTTTCATAAATACACTTAAATTTAGTCATAATAACTTACATAAATTGTTTCATAACATTCACAAATTATATGTATTAATTAAATTTAATATAAACGTTATATTTAATTTCCAAACGAAAGGTAATTATACAACTACTTTTAATTTGTAGGTCGTTTTTTTGGAGGAATACTCATGTTTTACTTGTGAAAAAATTGGCAAGTCAAAAGGAGATTTGAAAAGACACGCAAATTTAGCACATGCGTTGAAAAATTAGATTGTTTTATAGTTAACATGCTTTCAAATATTGTAAAAGAAGTGCAAAATGTTTTATTCTGTGACAATTGTTATCCAGAAGAAACAAGCCAGACAATTAAAGAGTTTAAATACAATGATTTCCTGTACAACGAAGTGAGCAAGTTATTAACTGCGTTCATATCATCAAGGAATGCTGACATATTTTTATCAAAGTTTTATTCAAGCATTGTTCTATACACCCATTATTAAATCTTTAATCTGGATAAACGTTTATGTGCTTTATTAATCCTTCATATTGGAAATCATACTTTGAGTTTTTATAAAAAACAACTAAACTCTCCTTATAAAGAAAGCAAACAAAAACCAAAAAGTGCACAAGAGCTAGATGAATTGCAGTATTTAGCTGGTTATGTTACACAAATTTATAAAAAAAAAAAACAAGAAACAATAAAAATATTATTTCAAAAATAAATCAGGATACAATGGCAATACTTAAAAAATTTACAGCAGATATATTCGTTGATCAAAAATTAATTTGTTCTCAAAACAGAGGGGGCTTAACTGCTGTAACAAAAGAGTGTCAATGTATTTTTATTGTAACTGAGAGTTTGTTTCGGAGAGAAACTAGCAAAAGTAACTTTAAAAAAATTGATATTGCTAAAATGGTAAACTCCTTGATGGAAGATACAGAAATTATAAGTTTGTACAGCAATATTATCAAAACATTTGAAACTGAAAACTTTGTTGCTTTTGATAGTGATCTAGTTAATAACATTTTCGAAAATATGCTTAAACTTTATCTTCGCGTACACTCATTTTCATTAACTCAAGATATTGTTCAGTTGCACAAAAAAAAGAAAAAAGAAAAATCTTTACACAAAACTATCAAAAAAGCATCTCAGAAACTTTGTATACAAGAATAAATATTATTTAATGCTAAGAAAAACGATTTTTAAAACATAAAAAAAAGAAAAGTAAAATACATTTTTATTGATAAAAACATAACACTTTACTTAATTTCCAAACACTGCTTTAGAAGTCTTACAATAAAAAATTTGTGTTATCGTAATGACCTTAAGTATTTTTCAAGGAAATTTCTTATCTTAAGTTTCTTAAGCAAAGTTGCATCTACAATGGTCCAAGATGGTAAATTTGTTGTATGAGTACATTTTGTGTTACCCGATCAGGTACAACAGAGCGCTGCATACGCTGCATTCACTGAATTCTCAATGTATGGTAGGGTTATCATTTCTTCTTCTTAAACTACGATGTCTTCCAAAATGTACTTCTTGAACATCTTGACTGAAGCGCTCACTAAGAACATAAGGCATTCCAGCATTTAATAAGTATTTGGTTACTTCAATAAGAGAATAGGATGTAACTCTAAGTCCCTCGTAAGTTTGGGAAGACATAAAGATTTTCTCTTGTTCATCGTTTGTAAAGTCACCAACACATTTAGGAACATTTTTTTTCCAAAGTTTTAAATAGTTTAGAAAACTTTCTTTCAACCATGTAAATCGTTTATCATTGATGCTTTTATACAGTCCCTGCGTTTTGTTAAACTTTCTGAATGGTTTCTTACATTCATGCAATCAAAAAACTTATCAGCAAACTTGCACAGTTCTGGAATTTTATGCATATAAGTAGGGTAATAACTTTCAATTACTTTTGACACTGTTTCACTTAATACTTGGGCAGCCAATCAAACATTCATTACAGATTATGGCGAAAAGTTGAAATGTTTCAATGTAAGTTTAGGCATAAGTTTTAAACCACGCTCTAACTCGTCATTATATAGTGTTTTTAAATGAGACCAAAAAACATCATTTTCGCTCCACATATGACATGTAACATTTCCGCTTAAACCTACAAAGGAGAAAAATTTATTTGTTGTATAAATGATATCAATAAATCAGTATAAATATTTTTTATCAGGTTATAATTAATTCATGTATTTATCTATAAAAAAAATACCCAAAACATTTATTATCAAAAAATCATATTTACACAAACACTAACAAAATAGAAAAAATTTACCTAAATGATAAAGGCAATTTATCAAAATTTTAAAAGATGAGGAGCATCTGCAAAAAATCAAATAAATCTATCATTTGCAAATAAATTTATTGTACGGTATGTTACTTCACTTTCCACCAACCCATCTATCATACTATGCAATTGATAAAATTTTCTGTTGTTAGATGCCCCATCCAAAACTGATGCAATAACATAAAGATTACACGTTAATACCGAAATTGAAACAGCTTTCTAAAATGTCATCATAAGCTGATTTGATGTAATACCTTTTGTAGCAAAATATGCAAGACTAAACTTCAAATCAGATGCTATGCCTCTAATATAATAAATAAGAGCGTGAGTCGCAAGTACACTTGAGTCTGAAAAAGTACTGTAGTTGATACTTGGATTGCCAAGATCCACATACCCAATAAGTTCGTCTGTATATTTATCAAAAACTAAATTATCTTGAATCTTGATTTCATCAAAAGCTAGACAAAGAAATCTTTGGTAACCAATTAGATTTAAAGTTTCATTCCAAAGATCATCTATTACTGCAGGATTGAAACCTACATAAGGTTTTATGGCATTTTTGTAACCTCTAAGTATTCTGAGACTTAAAAATTTTATTATTTTGGCAGATCGTAATTTATCATAAGCAGATGCAGACTTCATTGCTAATGGTGAACAAAATCTAATTATCTCATCTTTGAAGTTGGATTAGAAAAATGCTTTTTTTGTTGTTCCCATAACATTTTCACAAATGGGGTTATTTTATTGTCATCTAAGCTCATGATTTGTAGCACTTCATTACTAATGCTAGATAATACAGCTACTAATTTTATACAATTTCATGTTTCATTTTTTTTTATTGTTCCAGTCAATTTTCTGCATTCAAGTCTTTTATCTTTCAAGGCTAGCAAAATTTTGCTCGGATGTGTTTTTTTCAAAGAAACGTTTTTTTTTAAAGGAACAACTACAGTTTGTACAGTTTTTTTGTGATAGTTGTTTGTAAAATCTTTTTTTAATGTTGAAACAGTTTTTACACTGATTGTTTTATGACAGCAAAGAAAAAACTGTGAAGTCGTGAACCTTAGTCATATGCGGACAAATAGGAACAATGTTTTTATATATATAAACATACGTGGCTATAAAAAATGTATATTAAAGATGGCTTACTTATAGGAATATATATATTTAAGTATAGTACAGTGTTTTATTAACGTCACAACAATGGCGCTGCGAGTAAGGGACGATTTGACTTTAGATGACCCAGATAATGCAGAAGCATGGATTAGATGCTTTTCAGCTTCCGCACGTTCAAAGAAATTAAAAGATGAGATAAACGGTAGCTACGAGATAACAGATTTATTTATGGCAAAAGCAGGGATTGAAGCAGTTAAAAAGATTTCTCTTATGGTATATCCAGAAGAATTAGAAACTATGATGTTCGATGATATTAAAACTGTTGTTATGTCCCATTTGAGACCTCAAAAACGACTAATTATTGCTGAAAGAGTTTGATTTTTAGCATTAAAACAGCAAAACAATGAAAACATCGTATCATATGCACAAAGATTACGCAAAGCTTCACGCTTTTGCATCTTCGAAAAATTGGGAAGAGATGGCGAAAGTGCGGAAGATGATTTGATTCAAATGAGATTGATTGATGGTCTCCAATCTTCTGATCAGAGAGTTAAAGCTCTAGAAATGATACAGAGTGGAGAATCGCCTAAACTAGGAGCATGTATTGATTTTATCAGGCAGCTGGAGCAAATATCCTGTTTTAGTATACAAAACAACATCGAAAACAGCATAGACCTTCCTTAAGTTAATTACATTGATAAAAATAAAGAAAGAATGATTAAATGCAAGTATTGTGGCCTTCAACACCCACTTAGGAAATGCCCAGCATTTGGGAAGAGTTGTAAAAAATGTGGAAAGCTGAACCACTTTAAAAACGTATGCAAAGCAAACACTAAATAAGAAAAAATAGTAGAAGAAATAGAGAAGGATGATGCTAGTGTGTATTCCACTAACATGAATGATACAAACTCAGAGATTAGTGTAAAAATTAATGACTACAATATAAAAATGCAAGTTGACACCGGAAGTTAAGTCACAATTATTTCAAATAATTTTAGGGAACTAATGTCTAAACCGAAATTACAAAAATGCTCCTTCGCCTGAAACAGTTTGATGGCACAGTTATAAAAGTCCTAGGCGAATTTGAGGCAACTTTGGAAACCGAATCAAAAATGAATATCGTACGAATTATTGTGTCAGACTGTACAAAAAATCATGGTCTAATTAGTATGGATGTATTAAATATCAACGCCACAAAATTAGTAAATAATATAGAACCTCTTGTTCGTAGGCGTTTAATTAATTACAAAGCAAATATTCTGTTAAAAAACGGCGTACAACCAACTTATTTTGAATCTCGACCTCTTCCTATCCACATAACACCATTAGTGGTAGATAAACTTAATGGAATGATACAGCAAGGGTTGCTTCAAAGGGTTCCTCCTGGTGGAAGCAGATGGGCTTCACCGCTTGTGGTTGTTAGAAAAACAGACGGAGATTTACGCATTTGTGCGGATTACAAAATAGGTGTTAACCAAAAAATATGCTCAGACTCATATCCCATCCCAAACATTGAGACCGTATTTCATAAAATGGCAGGGATGAAATATTTTGCTAAAATTGATCTCAAGGGAGCTTATCATCAAATTGAGATGGACAAAGAGGCACTAGAATTAACAACAGTTAATACACCTATTGGATTATTAAGATGGACCTATTTACCTTTCGGAATAAAGACTGCAAGTGCGATATTTCAAAGAGCGATAGAATCTGTTGTTGGCGATATTATTCCCAATATGATTATATTTCAAGACGATATATGTGTCGGTGCTAAAAATGCTGAAGAACTCAAATCGAATATAATTAAAATATTGAGCAAACTGAAGGAATCGGGAATGAGCATAAATAAATGAAAGTTAGTGAATGAAACAAAAAGTCTTCCATTTTTAGGATTTGAACTGTCAGAAAAAGGAGTTACCGCAGATAGTAATTTAGTCAGCAAAATACTTGGAATAAGTCCTCCTAATAATAAAAAGGAACTCGAGTCATTTATAGGATTAATAAACTTTTATAGTCGACACATTGATAAATATGCTGAAATTTTTTTACCTTTAAACAATTTAAGAAAGAAAGGAGTTACATTCGAATGGAGGAAAGAGCATCAACAGGCATTTGAATTGCTAAAAAGAAACCTTTGTGAAGAACCCGTAGTAAAGGTTTATGACATCAACCAAGATCTAGAGTTAACAACAGATGCTAGCAAGAAAGCTATATCTGGAATACTTTCACAGAATGGCCATCCGGTATTGCATCTCTTACGAACTTTATCAGACGCTGAGATAAGATATTCTAATATTCAGAGAGAAGCTTTAGCTATTGTATGGTCTGCTCACAGAGCTAGGCATTTTCTGTTGGGTAGGAAATTCAAATTAATATCAGATCACAGGCCGTTAGAATTTATATTTGATAGTAACAAAGAATTGCCCAAAGTCACATCCGCTAGAATTTTAAGATGGGCCATACAAATGATGGCATTTGACTACGAAATAAGCTACAAGAAGAGAGAAAACATTCCTCATGCTGACGCATTATCGAGATTGTCCTTTCTACCACAAAATGGAGAGAAAGACCAAGAAACATTTATACACTTAGTCGAGTCAGATATAGAGAACCTTGAGCAAATAATAAAAGAAACAGAAAATGATAGGGTATTGATGGATATCAAAACCAGAATTAGAAAAAATAATTGGAGCAGATGCTCAGTAACAGAAAGACCCTATAAATCTATTAGGAATAAACTGACTATCGAAAAAGGAATTGTGTGTAATGGTGACCTCATTGTACCTCCTAAGACAATGAGAAAGATCTTCATCAAATCGATCCATGATGATATACATTGTGGCATAATGCAAACGCGATGTAGAGTAAAATTAGAAGCCTGGTGGCCTGGCTACTGTCAAGATGTTGAAGAATATGTGAAAAACTGTGAAAAATGTGCCGAAATAAATATGAAGAAGGAAAGGACATTACATACATGGCCAAGTGAAAATAAACCTTGGTGTAGAGTACATATGGATGATGCACATGTACAGGGTATCGGACTGTTTTTGAATTTAGTAGATTCTTTTTCTGGATGGCCGGAAGTTATTAAGGTAAATAACCGTGAAGCGACCACTGTAAAGGCAGTACTACAAAGTGTTTTTTCAAGAAATGGAGTTCCAGAGGTTTTAGTATCCGACAATGCTGCGGAATTTCATGATACCACCTTACACCAGTGGCTAAAGAAAGTAGGTTGCGTACCTTATAAGACTCCACCTTACCATCCTCAATCTAACGGAGCAGCTGAAAGAATGGTAGAGACAGTTAAGATGGGTTTAAGAGCTTATTCACCGGACAAAGGTTTATTATGTGGATATTTAAGCAGAATGCTTTTAACTTACAGAACAATACCTCATGCAGGAAGATCAAGAAGTCCTTCCGAGATGATTGGAAGGCAGTTGAGATCCCCTCTCACCACGAGTTTCGAAAGTGGAACACCTTTATGGTACCGTCAAAAACCAGATTCCAAACCTTAACCTGCCTCATTCATCTCCCAGGCAGGTCTAAACACTGCGATCATATTAAGGAATAACTCTTCGGGTACGTTAGCACACTGTGACCAAATAAACAAACGCCTAAATGAGCCTAGTATACTTATGAATAATGAAGACAGTATGCGGTATGATCATACCAATAATGAAAAAATCGATCCATGCAATAGTGATAAATCTGATATGTCCGAACTACGTGTTACTAAAGAAGAACCTAACCAGAATCGAAGAAGTACTCGGTCGACAAGGGGGCAAAAGCCAATACGTTTCAGGGATGTGAAGCCGTGAACCTTAGTCATATGCGGACAAATAGGAACAATGTTTTTATATATATAAACATACGTGGCTATAAAAAATGTATATTAAAGATGGCTTACTTATAAGAATATATATTTAAGTATAGTACAGTGTTTTATTAACGACACAACAATATCACAACTTTTTGGTCTTAAGTAATGCTTGTAAATTGATAGTCCTGGTTGCAAGGCAGTTGACTTAATTTTTGTTGGAACATAGTGACATACAAGTTCATTTGAAGTAATATTTGTTAATCGAAGTCATATTTAAAATGCTTTATTTCAGTGAGTCTGAGACAATGATATTATTCTGAGACTGAGACAAGGACATTATTCATACTTCCGAAATATTTTTGTATAAAAAGTTAATTAAGTATTTATATAATTACTTTAGGTAATTATATAAATACTTAATTAACTTTTAATTTGTGAATAAATAATTTATTTGCTAAAATAAAGTTAAAAATTAATAATAACATTTTGTATACTAACTTGCTAATTCAATATCATCTGTAGCAAAAATGTCTTTCACAAATGTAAATTTTTCCTGCAGCTACTCGATCGTTAATTATTTTTTTTCCTTCAGTTTGAGTAAAATTTGTCATTTCTCATTGGGATTTGAAATATACTTACTTGAAATATACTTATATGAACAAAAAATTTGGCATCCAGGGAAAACACAATTCTTTCCTGGAATAATTTTATAGTAATAGTTTTGAAAAAACTTTCTTTTGATTTCAAAAACAAAGAATAATAAGCACAAAAAGCTCTCAGATTATAAAACAATTTTATTCTAAATCGTAACAGACTTTGTTTGTTTTGAACCTACATTGATCACGTGACGCAAATTTACGGAATTTCAAGTTCAAACAAAGACATTGCCAGATCAGGGTTTACTTCTATCAAGGACGTATTAATAGATGGACGTTTAACGTGTTGTTTAATTGCCAAGATATCCGCGCTATTCATTGTTACAAATAACAACCTGTAAAACGCAGCGTTTCTAAATCTATTGTTTCATTAACCGTAACGATTTTTTAGAAATGAGTTTTTTTAAAAATTTGCTCGCTAAAAACAGCTGTTTATTTTTTAAATTCTCTGCAATAAATTTTATCAAATTTAATAATGGCGGACTTACCAGCTTTACAAAAGTCGTTTTACTTCCTCCCTTAATTTCTTACGATGTTCAATCGTTTCTTTCGCGTAGTCTTCGTTTATGTAAATTCCAGTCTTTCGTAATTTTTTGGCGCTGTTCAAAACTTTAATTTTATCTAAAAAATTCAGTAGTTTGAAGATTATTGTTCTCGGTGGTTTGTCTTCTCTTGCACTTCCAATACGGTGGGCTCGTTCGATTTCAATTTCTTCAGATATTTTTAGCATATTTTTAATTATTTCTTTAACCGAATTTCTGCAATCTTCCCAGCTTTCACCTTCTATTACTTTAAACCATTGATCTTTAAACTGTTTCTTCGTGAGCGGCTCTGTAAGTCCTCAGTTTTTTTTACTAAATAATTTATATCATACTCCAAATTTGCTTTAATTTTTTCCATTTTTTCCGTAACATTTGCTTCTTGAAAGTTTAGGCTCTCTTTAATTTCATTTATATCCTTTTCAATGATAGTATTGTTTGATTTATTTCGTTTAACTTCGTGTTCAAGCTTATCTAGTCGTTCTGCGAGAATTTTAAGTTTCCACTTATTATTACTATAAAGTTTTTTTCTTGCTCTTTTATTAACTTGCTTGTTTCCGATAATATATAAGCTTTTTGTTCTTCGAGCTTGCTTGTTATTAACATTTCGCTGTTTTTTAACGTTAGATCAATTTTTAATTTGTTAGTAAGATAATAAAAAAATATATATATATATATATATATAATATATATATATATATATATATATATATATATATATATATATATATATATATATATATATATATATATATATATATATATAATATATATATATATATATATATATATATATATATATATATCTATATATATATACCAGAACGCATAATATTTTTATTTTCTTATAAAGAATTAAGCATTTTGAGAATTAATATTGCTGGTAGGAACTATTATTAAAAAAACAATTTTTATTAAGTATTTATTGAAGAAAAATATTTACTTACAAAATAATAAATGAAAAACATGGTGAATCACTTTTGCACCACGATAAAAAAACTGTCAATTTTTGTCAATTTTGTCAATTTTTAATATTTTGTCCATATTCCTTTAGCTTTTTTAACTGCTGCTAATCTTCTATTTATGCTCTTTACAAGATTTTCGCAAAGGTTTAACGAAATATTTTTCCACTGTTCTTGAACTCGTTCATATAACACATTAATGGATGATGGAGGGTCAGAATAGTTATTAACGAGCGCTTTTTTTAATTGTGACCACAAATTTTCTATTGGGTTCAAATCAGGACTTTGTGCTGGCCATTCTAGCACTTGAAAGTCCTGCGAAGCTAACCAATTCTTAACCATTTTAGCAGTGTGCTTTGGGTCATTGTCCTGTTGAAAGATGACCTAATATATTGGGTAAGGCATATTTTCAACTGTTTCCAATAATTCATGCTGTAAAATATCAAGATACATTTCCTTATTCATGTTTCCAACTATTCTTCGAATAGGTCCAAATCCATAAGCTGTCATACACCCCCATAGTTTAATATTGCCTCCCCCATGTTTTACTGTCTGAATAAAATATTTTTGGGTTAATGGTTCACCTTCTCTTTTCTAGCTCCATCGGCGGCCATCTGTGCTATACCGATTAATTTTAGTTTCATCTGACCAAATAACTATCTTCCAATCATCTTCGGTAAAGTTTTCATATTTTTTTACAAAGAATAATCTTGCTTTGATATTTTTTTTACTAAGTAATGGTTTTTTCTTCTTTTCAATTGCTCGAAATTTACTTTTTATGAGATCTCGCTGCACTGTCCACCTGCTCACATTTTTTCCTGTATCACGTTGCAAAAGTTTAGCTGCATGAGATGCCGATTTTGCTTCTCCAGTAGTCAAATATCTGATTACTCTTCTACTGTCTACCGCACTCAACTTCTTTGGTCGACCGCCAACATTTTTTTTCAGAATATGTCCACATTTTTTTCTAATTCGTTGCACAGTACTTTGACTAACTTTTAATTTAGAAGCAATTTTACGAGTTGTATTTCTTTCTTCGATCATCTTTTTCATTAAATTGCTCTCTGTCTTTGAAATTCTTATTTTATTAAAAAACTATCAAAAGCAATAAATTTAAACAATAAAATTTATGAAAACAGAAAATTATTTTAGATATAAATATAGTCAATTTATTTGCACTCAAAATTATAAAATTAATTTGAGAAAAATAATAAAGATATGCCTTCATCAAATATGGTGCAAAACTGAGTCAAAAGATGTTTGTCACTAGATAAAAATACTTGTGAATTGGGGTAAAAGGAGGAGGCGTAATAAGTCATAAAAATTAGCACTTTACTACTGTAATATTCCAGACAGCGCTAATATATCAATAATAAAAGAAACCATAATTTTGTATTTTTTTAAAAACTCTGGTTTAGTTTTTAAAAAAATACAAAATTATGGTTTATTTGTGTGTGTGTATATATATATATATATATATATATATATATATATATATATATATATATATATATATATATATATATATATATATATATATATATATATATATATTTATATATATATATATATAATATATATATATATATATATATATATATATATATATATATATATATACATATATATATATATATATATATATATATATATATATATATATATATATATATATATATATATATATATATATATATATATATATATATATATAAATATATATATATATATATATATATATATATATATATATATATATATATATATATATATATATATATATATATATAAGTATATATATATACGTATATATATATACATATATATATATATATATATATATATATATATATATATATATATATATATATATATATATATATATATATATATATATATGTATGTATATATATATATATATATATATATATATATATATATATATATATATATATATATATATATATATATATATATATATATATATATATATATGTATATATAAGAAGGATTTTTGATATTGATATTGTAACTCTGTTAGGGTTAAGATATTATATTGTACTAGCTGTGTATGAGTTTTTTAAGCTTTAAGTAATTTAGAATGCAACATTTAGTTAAGTTTGTTTTTTATTTAGTATAACTGTTAATAATTATTTAATTAAAAAAATACACAGTACAATATTATTTTAAAATAAGCTAAAATAAAAAAAAAAAATAATAATGGGAATAACTATTTCTACCTTAAAGCATTGTTATTGTAGGTACGTGACATGAATTTTTTAAATTGATTAATCACTAGATTGTTAAATATCATTGGAAAGGTCTTTAATTTAGTACTTTAATGGTGAAAAAGTTATGAAACTTGAATAATTCTGCAAAAAGTTATGGCATTTTGAGTACCGAATTTTTGATAAATGGATTTCTCAAAGAAACTGTGATTAAATTTTAATTTTTTTAACTTAAAAGATCATAACTTGGACAATTCTTTTATCAAAATACATTCAACTTGGTATCAAAAGAAAGTATAACAAAGGGCAA